CAGCGCCCGACACGATGAGAAGTAAGCCGAGAAAACCAAGGCCGAGGGACTTGTTAGTCCAAGGCCTCATGGTGAACGAAGCTCGTGCACGTGGAAAGTCGTTCCTTAGACGATTAAGAATGGCGGTGGTGTATTCGTCGATCGGATCCGGCGCTGGGTTCTTCCTTCACTTCTTCTCTCTTTCTTCCTTCACACCACGAAATCTGAAGCAAGCATAAAATTTATCTAATCAACCAGTCATTGAGCTATTTCCTTATGCTCTTTTCTCTCGTGTGATTCATACTTTGCGTGCTTCCGTGATATACACATGCGTTTGCCGACTGTTGGAAACGACAACTTCGTTACGCTGTAAACTGCGAGGAACCGTGATCGTAAAAACCGTTGAGAATTTGAACTCATGGCTATCCGACATTTAACTTGGAGAATCATTATCGCTATAATGCGCTTTTTCGTCTCAAATTGGAATATTTACGCGTTTGAATTTACGATTATCCTTTTCATTTCAAATTCATTTCATCGATTTAGTAATCGATCGCTTTTTTTTTCTTTTCTTTCGCCAATTCGCCTTCGGTTTAAACTACATTTCGTGAAAACTAATTCTAAGAAACGCGATGCACAATTGTCCATAAAAATGAAACAAAATAACACGATTCATAATCTAATCTATATTTAACATTTTATGCAGCTGAAGCAAAAATTTTAAAACGCGCACAAGCGTTTATTAATATTAAGTTTCTTTGAAAAAAAATGCGTTATATTAGGAAAATAATTATGCAATATATATAATAATAATAATAAAAGATTGCAATAAAAAAACAATAAAGAAAAGAAAACAAATGTATCTTATAAAATGGACGAGAAAATATAAATTTCATGACGTATTCGCGATAATTAATTTTATAATATTCTATATAAATTCCTACAATCCGAATATCGTTTAAGTAATAAATGAAATTTACGTATCGCGTCGAATCGCGCAATAAATAAAAATATAATAATAAATCTTATTCTACGATGACTGCGTGAAAAACGATTCGATTGATTTATTCACATCGATGTTCCGTATGCTTTACATAATTTCCCAATACATTTAATTTTCCCAATAAATCTTTGATGAAGCGAGATGTAGCGAAAAATTGCATATAACTTTGATCTTTGACAAATATTTTTTTTCAAATATGTACAAATTGCACAGAGACACGCGTTATGTTTATGACTTTTTTTTTCTGATTAATTTTTTACAGAATCGTCACACGTTCATGCTCAAAGTATCGTTCAAAGTATTTTTATCATTTTCAGCCATGACACGTTTCTTTGATTCAACATTTTTTTTTTTCATTTCCTCGTTGCATTTCATTACTCTGCGTTCTTTCTCGAAATTTTCATCGCACGATTGCATATAATTGGACGTTTCACGTATCTCCATTTATCCATTTTCCATCTTACAATCGTGCGATATTATTCCGAGATATATTGGAAAACTTTCGACGATCGCCAATTTCGAGGCATACAGTGCTATACCGATAGACAAAATAAGGTAATTGAACGCGAGAATCGAGCGTTACAAATATATAGTATGTGTAATACTTGTGTGTGTATATATACGTATATATACGAAAGCGATAGCGAAGATTCAGCAGCACGTTTCGTCGTGTAGGAAAGCTTATAATGGCTCATAAAAGCTCATTTATCGGTTCACTATGGTGTAATATGGTTCATATCGCGACAAAAGACACGAATCGAATACGTTCTTTTCTATCGTTTTCGAATTCGCTCGGGGATCTTCTGTTTTCGTTTCTCAGTGTCATCGCTTGACCTTTCGTTTCTTCCCGATCGAGTTTGTTTTTTTTTCCGTTCACGTTTCTACGCTAATTCGCATTACACAGAGATAACGCGGTATCGTATACCGCGGAAGGTTATTCGAAAAAAATAAAAAAAAGAATCCATTGCTCGTCCCTGTCCCGGATATTTCGTAAGGGCAACGAGATGTTGAATTATCGGCGAATCACAGATTTTTCGTTATATCGCGACGCTGTTCTCGCGCCACAGTTGTTCTTCTCGGCACAGAGCAATTGCCCAACGACAAATTGTTTCCTCGTTAAAATATTTCGGTTTCTTTTCGAGATAAATATTCGTGGACACGTGGTATCCTATGATCCGATTATCGTTATTATTATTATTATTAATATTATTGTTATTATCGGTTACGAATCTTAAGCTCGGATAAACTTTACCAATATACCGAATGAACGTGCGACAACGACGACACGACGACGACAATTTACGGATCGAACGATAGTTGGCAACCATTGACACGAACTTTGACACGTGACTATCCTTTGTCACGTTTCCAACGTTTCTCATCGAAAATATAAACGGGTGTATCGTTTACTAGGCAGCCGAATGACAATAAAATACCGAGATACATGATCGACTTACTCGTTTCACACACACCGTTCACACCACTCGCCACGATTCCTTCCACGATGGTCGAGAGAGGAGGAGAGCTTGTTCTTCGGTCACGAAACACCGATAACGCGAAACAAAACAACTATAACGAGATTATCGATCAAGCTCAATCACCTCGACTCTAACATCTGAGGTTGTATACAGTACCGCTGTTACTGCTGCGTCCAATGAATCAACAGGCTGCATATAATCTGACTATTGGCCGCATCCCCTCCACTTAGGGATATTTCTCTCCTTTGCTTGTATCTTCGGACCCTCGTCACTCCGCTCCCGCCTCGCTTCTTCCAAACACTCTCCAAGAATTTTCTCCCTCTTAACGAGCGTTCACGAATCCCTTACGGTTCGTGTAAGTGTGTGAATACGTGTTGCTCGCGTTGGTAAAGAAGCGTTGGTATATAAATACTACGGGTATAAGTGTAGATGTACGGTCTACCAGAACTCTAACTTCCGTCCAACCGAACTTCAACCGCTGGCCTCACGAAATACGAGTGTCGTGTTCGCGCCATGCGCAAATGCCAGTTTCGTCTTAAACTAATCGTCGTAATGCGTGCTCGGGTTATCAGTTTACAATGAGAAAATTATAATTAGCGATAATCACTTCGATCTTTCTCGGTCAATTTATGAATAAATCAATTAATGATTATTCGTTCGCAATTATCACAATTTTTCACATTCAAGAGAAAAAAAAAAAAATTGAAGCGCGCGATCATTTAATCGCGTCACAATTCAGTCTAGAATTTCAACTAACGTTAACATTGTTGATATCGTAATATTTCGTATCACCGTTACCGTAATTATTTAACTTAAATACGTTGATTTTCTCAGTCAAAGATACAATTATCGTTCGCAAAGCTATCCGTGTGTGTGGATAGTTTCATTCGTTATCGCATTAATCGATAACGCGTGACCAATCCAAAAGAATACTCGAGAGTAGTTTGTACGAAAAAAAAAAAAAAAAAAAAAGCAACGTAAAATTCTATTTACCGACGCAACTTATATATAATCTTATCTCCATAAGTAAAATATATTTCTCTTAACCGTCTTTGAACAAGATATATGAACGTTTTTCTCTCTTTTTTTATTTATTTTCTTTTTTTTTTTTCTCCCTTCTCTCTCGACTCATTTTACGTGGTTAAATCTTGACCACCGACACTGCTCGAATTCTCGTCGAGATACTACTCGATCCGATATTTATGGAAGGGGATGAACAACGTAATGGACGATCCATTACGGATACATACTTATTTACAATACACTACTTAAAACCGAAGTCGAGGTTATCGCGGAGGGAGAAAAAGGAGGGTTGTGCTCGGTGACACAGGTGGTAAGCCACAGAAGTGTCTCGTTGCCCCTTTTCGATTTCCCCCTCCCCTCCCTTCTTCGGTTGAAAGCCGTTGATCTCTTCATTGGCGAGCGTAATCATTTGCGAGTAGTGGCCGCGTAAAGAAGCGGCTACTGTCCATTAATTGACCCGACGATTCCGTTGCGATTAACTACGACCGTGCCTCGACCGTTTACCCGTTCGAATTCGCTGCTCGCACGAAACCTCGTGCGTTTAACCGAACAAATCGACCGAATTTGAATTTTTCGTCGTGAAAATTAACTGGAATTAACGCTCCGTCTCAGACGGATATCACGTAATAAACATAATATTAAAATTTACGATGAGATCAAATTTGATCAGCGTATATTCAATAATAATAATAATAATAATAATTCGTAGAGGATATGGATATTTTTAATTTCGATTTTCACTCTTCGATCGTCGCAAGCGTTGGTTTTTTTGTTTACACTAGATAAACAAAAAAAAAACTTACCGATATCTCGAGAGTTCACATCGCTGAAAAGTAGTTGAAAAGTAGTAGAAGAAGACGTTGGTAAAAGTTTTTTCATTCTCAGATACGTAATCCATCCAGCGATAAAGGTTGGGAGCCCGTACACTCGGATATTTAACCCGATACATAATCGTTCTGTTTTCGTTCTTGGCCGACATCGATGGTCCCCAACGATGTCTCGGTACGATTCGAAAAAACAATTTCCAAAACTTTCTCCCTCGAGTTCATCGTCGTTACGTAATGAAAAAAAATCTTATCCGACGATTACCTGTAACGTCGTAACGGGTCTCCGTATCGCTTCAGTTTGCTTTAGTTCGATGATTATTAATCGCATAATCCAGATCGCACGAGGATAATCTCGTGTTTACCAATTTCGACACCAACGTCGAGAATACGACGAGAGAATTCTAGCAGAACGTTCCTCGGTGAAATACTATCCGTCACTGGATCATCTGGACTCGGCTGGGCTGTCGTTCGGTCGTCTACGAAGCCTTACGAATGTCCTTGTGGTCTCAAGACCATGCTCTACGTATGTAAATATTTCGCGATTCGAGCAAAACGAACGAATCGGTAGTAAGCTAGATTACCGACCGTGTTCAAACAATTTTCAAGCGTGATCACGTCGATGGGAAGGAAAATACGTTGGAGCGTATATCCTGTAATATATGTTATATATGTATCGTGGAATGCATAATATGTAATCGACACAATTTATTTACAATAGAAAAACATATCGGATGTATACATATACGTGTAACAGTTTAGCCGAGTATTATCTGGTATGGGAGAGACGTTGGTTGGCCGTTACGTATTAACGGCCGTCGCGTCGGGTTAAGAACCCCTATGCTCCTCACGGCTCCGTGTATACCTCCGAATAATGAACAAATGCCAGATCTAATCCTTAATAAACGTGCACTTATCTAATAAAGCTTTTAAACGATACATAATGTGACACGATGCAACGCAAGAACACTCGTATTAGTCGTAACTTATATCTACGTAAACGATGTACATAAAGAGAAGAAACTTTTTGCAGCGTTCAAATGGTCCCCCATCCCTCCCCTCGACCATCCACGACCATCTATGCGATCGATAATACCTATGTTACATAAAAACGGTTATAACCGAGAGCCGAGAGATGCCATCTTCCCCTTCCCCTTCTCCTCCTTCTCCTTCTCCTTCTCCTCCTTCTCCTCCTTCTCCTTCTTTTCTTAATCTATCGATGTCGCTACTTTAAGGAAAAAAATGGATTTCGAACGGAGAATAACCTCGCTCGACCCATTAACTGTCCATATTTATTTTTCGTTGGACGATTGACAGAAACGTTTCCTCGCCCACCATATCGCGGCCAGGGCAGCTGCCAGGAATCCTATCCCCGCCACTATTCCCATCGAAATCGCTCTGTTTCTACGGTACGCCGGTACTTCGAGACTGACGCGATCGCTCGTTGCCACGTCGTCCGAGATCGACATAGCGGCCACCTCGAACGTGTAGTAACTCTCCTCCTCCAGCGTTTTTACTGGAACAACGTAAACGATCGTTCGATAATTTTAGATATTATACGGAATTGATATATATCGAACGCATAGATATCATGGAGAGTTACCCAGATAGTAAGTGTCGGTCGTTTCCGCTCTGCCGTACAATTGCTCGGACGGCCCACGGAACCATCTAACGGCGTACAGTCTCACTTGCTCCTTCCCGTAAGCAGGCGGCTCCCAAGTGACCAAATAACCTTGCACAGTTGCTTGCACTCTCACGTTCAACGGTGGACCCATTCGATCGTCTTTCGTGTCAGAAATATCGCGATCAATATATATCAAGCTACATGTATGGGAAAATTAAAGTGTCGCGTATAAAACCTACCTGGAGGACTACGATATTCCGACGCCGAATTCTCCTCTAACGAATCTGAAATATATTTCGTATATAATTTTCGCTGCACACATAATACGATATCTCGTGGAAATACGATACGTACTGGGTTGCGTGAAAATACGCAACGTTTTACTGAACATCCCGTCCCCGTGTTTGTCCTGACTAAGCACCATGAACTCGTACTCTCGTCCCGGATTCAAATTGTTTATCGTCGCCTCGGTAATTTTTCTTGACAAGATCTTCATCGTTCTCCACTCGGTGGTGTCGGTTGGCCTGTACCTGAATTATATATATATATATATATACACACATATATATATATATATATACACGAGAGGAATCGTATCTCTTTTATATTTAATCATTCACAGACATTGAAAGGAGGGAAGGGGAAGGTATTTTCGCTTACCAGACCGAGTATTCCATCTTGGGTCTCACGTATCCCGGCACCCAAGTCAACGTGACCGCGTTGTTGCTGCTGTTGGCGCTCAAGTTGTACGGTGCCCTTGGAGGGACATTCAATACCATTAATTCCGTGTCCGCGACCACCGTCGCGGCTTCGTTGCTCACCGCGCATTGATACAATCCCCTGTCCTGCTCTTGTATCCTATCGATCGTCAAGTTGCCACCGATTATAATGGTCCTGTTGGTCAACGGTATTGGCGAGCCATCCTGTCGAAATGCGAAATCGTGTTAATCGAAAAAGGGGAATCGAAGAAGGAGGGAGACGAAGAATTCGCGATTCCCAATAAAAGTATTTCACCTTGTACCAAACGATCGACGGTCTGTGGGATTGATCTCCATCCTTCGCGTCGCAGGGTATCTCCAAATTCTCCCCCAATTTCCTTATGTACAAGTGTTGGGGGGTGACCGTGAACACAGGCGGCCTCTGCACGATCTGTCCGAACCGAAATTATTTTCTCGAATTAGTGAATGATAATTAAGAATAGAGAGATATATAAAGGAAAAAGAAAGTGTTTGATCACTCGCCACGGTGATCGATGGACTGGGTCCCTCGGTGCCCAGCTCGTTGTACGGCGTGCAAGTGTAACTTCCGGAATGGGTTTCGTCCACTTTGCTGAAGTAAAGGGAACCGTTCCTCCTGTAGAAGACGCCCTGAACGTTGTACGGATCGAACAGAAATCCGTCCTTCTCCCAACGTAGATTCGTCAGGGGCGGATTCGCCCTGAAGTGACAATCCAGAAGGGCCGGTTTCCCGTACGGGAGGTACACCTCTCGGGGAGCGTAGATCACTTTCGCCTTGTCTGTGAAAACGGAAACGGAAACGGAGCCATTAACCGCAACGACAACAACTGTTGTTGAGGGACGAGTTTCGTATTCGTCGATCGTGTGATCTGGTTATTATATTATATTATTATATTATATTATTATATATTATATATTATATTATTATTATTATTATTATTATATTATTATATATTATATATTATATTATTTATTATTATTATAATATATTATACATTATATTATTATATTTTTATTTCCTGGGCAAAAGTGTCCGATCGAAGTGATTCCGCCCGCTCTCCCCTCCCCTATCCCTGCGCGCGTGCAATCGTGATACGTTCACAACCCGATTCTACTCGCATCTACTCGCGAAGAGGAACATTTCGAACACTTGCATTGCACGTTGAGGAAGGCGGAGGCGCTCTGCTGGTCGCCGGTCTCGCCGGTAACCACGCAACTGTACTCCCCGAGATCGCCCATAGCGGCCGAGTTGATCGTCAACGTGCCATCCTCGCCGATCGACGCCCTCCTCTTGAAATCCTGTCCCAACGAATTTTCGATTAATGATCGTTAATCGAGACCAAAGGGCAAAGGGTGTTGAAAGGAGAGGGGGAAGGGAAGAGGTGGTCGTACCTCGATCTCCGTAATCTCCACCCCCTCGCGTAGCCAGGTGACGATGGACTTCTCCCCCTTGGCGACGCAATCGAAATCAACCGACTCGCCCTCCATCACGGTCTTGTTGACGGGCGGAACCGCCAGCAAAGTCTCGCCTGGAACAGACGTCGGAAACGGCGACGCACCTGGGTTGAACGATTTAACGAGTCTGCCCAGTTTCAGGTTAGTCAAGCGGCAGCGGGATTATTGTATAATTCGGGTCTCTTTGATTTTTTTCTTTTTTTCTGTTTCTTTTTTTTTTTTTTTTAGTTTTGCCAGCTTTATATAGGCGGGATTATATATTATATATATTATCTCTCGAGTCGGTTAATCAATTTAATTTCGCAATGCTATTTCTTTCTTTTGTTAATGTTATTTCGTAATTTCGACGCGTGGGCGCGGAGGCACGATTGTCATCTTTTTTTTTTTTTTTCTTTTTTTAGAGAGGCGAAACGAACCGTTCGTTATTTCATCTCTCCTTTTCTTTCTTTTTTTTTAAGGAAGGAAGGGGCGCGCCACGGCGCGAACAACTGCGCCGCGATGACTCAATTTCCCATTAACGCGTAACAGAACTCTGGCGGGCAAAAACCACTAGAATTCCGTCTCCGTTAACGAGTGAATCATCCGGTTTAATCTCGTCGAAACGAAGCGTCGAATTCGAGAATCGTGTCTCCTCTTTCTCGAGAGCGAGGGGTGCAAAAGGGGTGTAAGATCAGGGGTAGCAAATAAACGTTTCTCTCTTTTTTTCTTATTTTTTCTTTCTCTTTTACTCTCTCGCTGCGAAGGGAAATCCACCCACGGGACGGTGAAGATTTTCCTCTCGATCCAGCGTTAGTAGTTGATAGTAGTAGTAGTAGTAGCAATAGTAGTAGTAGTAGTGGCCCATTTCAGTGCACAACAGGGTTAGTCAGCCGGCGCTTATTAACCGCGTTAATTCCCTCGACGGCTTCGTGTTATCGAATTAACCGGTTAACGCGGTTGCGAGAAAGGGCCGCGGATCCTTACCATCTATGGCGAGGTGGAACCACGTCCCGTTGTTCCTCGAGTTGGGGGTCCTGTTCGGGAAGATAACCCTGCACTCGTACCATCCCTGGTCGCTCTCCCGGATGTTGGTCAAATTGATACTCCCCTGCCCGTAACCTCGGCTCACGGCGTCCTCCAACAGGTGTACGCGGCCCTCGTACCCCAACCCCGTCGAGTATCCATTGTGAAACCACGAGAAGATCGTCCTGCCCTGCAATCAACCGAAAATCGTCTCTCTCTCTCTTTCTCTCTCTCTCTCTCTCTCTCTCTCTCTCTCTCTCTCTCTCTCTCTCTCGCTCTTGCTCTCGCTCTCTCTCGCTCTCGCTCTCGCTCTCGCTCTCGCTCTCTCTCGCTCGCTCGAGGGAGGCGAGTTTGACTTTGGTCTGTGCCCGTCCGGTGAAAATGAAGGGGAAAAAAAAAAAAGAAAAAAGAAGAAAGAAGGAAAAAAAGAGGTGGAACTCCCTCGCGGTCGAAACGGCGCTAATCGTCCCTAATCGTCTGACAATGCGTTAGCAGTGACCCACTGGCTGGACCCCTCGTGTCGCGGGCTCGTCGTCGTCACTAAATATAATGCAGCCTTGCGTCCCGTACTCCAATTACCGTGCTGTTCGACAGTAAGGGGAGGGGGGAGGGAGCGAGAGAGCACCTGTTTTGCATACGCATCAGGGACCAATCGGGTTAAGTTCCACTTGATTTTATGCGCTAGCCATGCGCGACGTTCAATTCTGTTTCCGGCCCGCGGTTGCACGCGCGCCCGATGCAACATCCGCCTCCGAGATTCCCTTTCCCCTTCGCTCCCCTTCGTAGAAAAAGGAAAAGAAAGAATGAAAATAAAACGAACGGATTCCGATTTCCAGATTCGCTCCTCCCTTCGCTTGCCTTCGTAAAAAAAGAGAAAAAGAAAGAAAATAAAACCAACGTCGCGAATTTCGATTTTCAGATTCGTAAAAAAAAAGAAAGAAAAAAAACAACGTGGATTACGATTTCCATATTCGTTCCTTTCTTCGCTCTCCTTCGTAAAAGAAAGAAAGAAAAAAACGACGCGGATTACGATTTGTAGATTCGCTCTTCTTTTTGCTCCCCTTCATAAAAAAAAGAAAGAAAGAAAATAAAACGAACGACGCGAATTCCGATTTCCAGATTCCTCCTTCTCTTCGTTTCCCTTCGTAAAAAAAAGAAAAAGAAAGAAAAAAAAAACGACGCGAATTCCGATTTGCAGATTCGCTCTTCCCTTTGCTTCCCTTCATAAAAAAAAGAAAGAAAGAAAATAAAACGAACGACGCGAATTCCGATTTCAAAATTTCCTCTTCCCTTCGTAAAAATTCCCGCTTCTCTTCGTAAAAAAAAAAAAAAATAAAATGCGAATTTCGATTTCCAAATTCCTCTTCCCTTTGCTTCTCTTCGTAAAAAAAAGAAAAAAAGAAAATAAAAAAAAAGCGAACGATGCAAATTTCGATTTCCAAATTCCCTCCGCCTTTCGCCCCCATTCGTAAAAAAAAGAAAAAGAAAGAAAAAAAACGACGCGGATTCCGATTTGCAGATTCGCTCTCTCTTTTACTCCTCTTCATAAAAAAAAAAAAAAAAAAAAGAAAGGAAAAAAAAACGAACGACGCGAATTTCGATTTCCAAATTCCCTCTGCCTTTCGTTCCTCTTTGTAAAAAGAAAAAGAAAAAAAAAACGAATTTCTATTTCCAAATACTCTCCCTTCTTTGCTCCTCTTCGTAAAAGAAAGGAAAAAAAAAAATGATACGAATTCCGATCTCCAGATACTCTCCCTCTTTTGCTTCCCTTCGTAAAAGAAAGAAAAAAAAATGACGCGGATTCCGATTTCCAAATTCGCTCTCCCCTTCGCTCCCCTTCGTAAAAGAAAAAAAAAACGAACGACGCGTATTCCGATTTCCATCTCTTCCCCTAGAAGGAGGAGGAGGAGGAGGATCTAGGATCGAAGATCGCGACCGCATATCGCGACATCGAGATATCGGGACACGCGCTCTTCCCACGCGGATCGAATTCGAGCTAATACTGTTCTCCTTCGAACATTCGCGGATCGCAACGCCCCGCCCCGACCGCGATTTCACGCGCCGACAAAATGCCCTCCCTCCGCTTACGGTTTTAACCGTAACCTCGATCGATCCGGCCTCGTTAATCTCCGTCCGTCCGTCCGTCCATCTGTGATGGCGCGACGTGGAAAAAAAAAAACAGATAAGTCTTCCTTCCCCCTTCCTTGACATCATAGGATACATCAAGACGCGCGTCCAAGTCTCGTATTTCTGCGGGAGACCGCAGTAACGAGTCGGCAGGTAAACAAATCGAGAGGAAATAACGACGAGGCCTATCGTTTGTCGCGTTCTTATTGCGTAATTGCTTTAAATGTATACACGTTTCGAAGGGAGATTTCTTTCTTCTTTGTGTTTCTTTTTTCCACCCCCTCCACCCTGTTCTCGAGTTTTGGAAAACTCGGGCGGACTTACGTCACGATTCCATTGAAGGATGTACGGTATCGGTGTCTCGTGGGGAAAGTCCAAATCGCAATTGAACACCGCGTACTCTCCCACTCCTGCGTTCAGATAATTTGGCTCCTTCTCCTCTTCCAGTATCAAGCCGTGGCCGGTAGCTGGAAAAATTAAAAATCGAAAGGAGCGGATTATCGGCGATAATCCCGTTTCGACGTTCGTTGGAAACGTCGATGGAAAGGAAGGAAGAAAGAGAAGAAAAAAAACCGAGAATATCATCGCGTGACAACTAACGTATAAAGATGTATATAAAGATATATATATATATATATATATATATATATCGACTCAATTTTAGTAAATTGGTTAATTTTCCGGCGCGTTACGCGCTGGATCTTCGAGTTTCCTCCAACTTTGGAGAAAGAGAGAGAAATAGAGAGAGAGAGAGAGGATACTCACCTTGATAGCAAAGGAAGATTATCAACAGGCGGTGAACGCCAAGAATCGCTTTGCTCATTTTCCTTCGTCGCGGCTTACTCTCGATGATTTCGAAGCTGTCTCTCGAGGACGCGCTCGGTGGACGCGATATCAGATTCGAATCACGGCTCGCGGCCGACGACGAACGCGGCGTACGAAACACGGGAGCAAAACACATCTGTCATCGCCGACACTCATCGAACCACGACCAGCCACGCTTAAATGGGACGCGACACTTTCGATCCGAATCGATCAGCACATCCTCCTCCGTGTTCACAGACGTTCACTCGCGACGCATCCTCCTCCTCCTCCTCCTCCTCCTCCTCCTCCTTCACCAACTCCTCCTGCCTCCTCCTCCTCCTCCGTCGATCGAGCACCTGAACGATCCAACGATCGAACGATCGAACCGTTGCCAAACCGTTCGCCTCCTCCAACGATCCGCCCGCGATGCGATCACCAGGAACGACGTCTTTTATCCCCGACACAGGGATGGATATATATGTCTATATGGATGCGGCTTACCGTGGAGCTGCGGTCCACCGTGCTCCGTTTTCTCGCCGAGTGTGGTCGCGGTGATAAACGAGTAATCGCTCCGCCTCGCTCAATCCGAGCGGATACGACGCCGAACGGCGAAACGGTAACGAGGCAGGCGAGCGAGCGGGAAGGGGCACGCTTGTGCCGGCCCGCTCGGTGGAGGGAGAGCGTTCGCACGTAGGTACCACGCGATTCCTACGCTCGCGGTTTCTCTTTTACGTTCTAACGACGAGGAAAGGAACAACAGCCTGTTTTTTCCGCCACCCGCCGCCTCGCCCCCTCGACACACCCATCGTCCCGCATCTCGCGCGAAAAAACCTGGGAGAGAATCCCAGAGGCGAGATTCGACCGTGGCTACAAAAAAATTTTTGGAAATGATTACTTTGCTTTGGCTCGAGAGAGAGAGAGAGAGAGAGAAAGATTCGAAATTCTTCGATCGAGGAAGTCTTCGATAGGAAGATAGTTCGGGATTCTCTGGGATCTGAGAAACGTAGTGGTTCGAGGTTTGCGACGGCGTGTGTAACCGAGATACCCGTTCGCAACGGCGATCCCTTTTATTTATTCGCCCACGTAGCGTAATTACGAGAGTAACGAAGACGCCGACTTCCGCCTCTGGATTTTTAACATTGTTTCACGTTCGTCGTCGGCTCTCGTCTGTCTCTCTCTCTCTTTCTCTCTCTCGTCGTCGCAAATTCATTCCGCGCGATACGATTCGAATCGTACGAAGCGGGATGAGCAAAGGGTGATCCATCGATCGCGATTATCGAATCGAGTACATCCTCTCGGTCGGGACAACGTATTCTCGTAGAAAAAGTAGTAAAAGTGGAATAATGATATCCCGTCGTGTCGTAACACGACGATCGATTCGAAACGGAGGCAAAGAATCGGCGAAAGAAGTCGAAAGGATCGAAGGATCGAAAGATCGTGGATGCCGAGTCTGCATCGACGGATCGAATCTCGATGATGCGAAGAAAAAGAAGACGACGACGACGACGAGGACGAGGACGATGCGACGTCGAAACTACACACCGGCACGGCCGCGCGCCGTTTGCGTGGGTGACCTCAGATTACGTCACATCCGTCCCTTGCCGCATTAGCAGACTGCCCACAGCCTTGTCACGCTGTTGAGATAATGGATCTATTCGCATGGATCACGATCCAGGATTGGACGTGGCCGGGACACTGGAAATAAATGCGCGCATAATGATACCGATCGTATTATTTCATCGACCAGCTATACAAGGGAACGGGTCCGTTCCTGGTTCACCTGACCGCCGTATTTCTCTCCCGGAATACGCGAGAACCGACGCTTCGTCTGCCTCGCGTCTGCCTTCACCTCGCTGGTTAAATGCTCGCTCCCCCTTCCCCGCGCGGCCCGTGTGGTTTTTCCTCTCGCGTTCTTCGTTTCCCCCCCTCGTTTCGCACCGACGACTTTCAAGGATCGAAGGCGCTTCCCTCGAATCGCTCGAATATTCGCGTCAAATCCACGAAGATTTTTTGATGCGGCCGACGCATCGAGATATCGAGGGAAATCATGGAAATTGCGGTAATTCCCGGTAATCAGCGGCGTAGACGCGTTGCGCAAACGTTCCCGTACGCGCGCGCGTTTAATAACGCGGAGGCACACGCGCGCGCGCCTTGCCACGAATCGCCACCGGCAAACATCGAGATTCCGCGCCTCTTCTCCCGCCCACGAAAATATGCGTGCACTAAGCGCGGCCCGCTTCTCTACCACGGCCTGATTTCGCCGTGAATTGGCAATGATCTTATTGCCTTGGCCAATACCGATGTAATACTAATGTCGTACCTCGTCGGTTTCTTGGAAATTCCGTCCAAGAATGAGAGAGAGAGAGAGAGAGAGAGAGAGAGAGAGAGAGAGAGAGAGAGAGAGAGAGATCATCGGGGTTAGGTTGGACGATTTTATCGCGTACCGCGAGACAAATTGCGGGGATCGTCGAACCTCGCGACGCGTCGCAATATAACGTTTAATCGGCTGTCCCGTATTTTCGTTACCGATGGAAGTATCATGACCAAGATAGATTTCTAAAATAACGTTTGCATTTATTAAATTTGAACGTTATAAACTATGTGATATATATATATATATATATATATATATATATATATAGATATACGTAATATATATATATAGATATATATATATATATAGATATACGTAATATATTATTATTTTGTTACACGATATATATATATAATATACTTTTTTTAAAAAAAAAAACGCGTTAATGCGACGGGACGAAGTCGTTTCCTGTTTTTTCTTCCGATTCTTACGATTGAACGTATGTTTATATATATATATATATGATATATCGTGTAAATCAAACTTTTACTCGATTGATAACGATCACACGTGCGCTCGTGCCGTATCGTATCGTCTCTATGAATGTTGTAATATGTACGAATTTACTTACGTACTTACGCGTCATTATTTTGTTTTACGCTTGAGCATCGTATCGCGCAATACGATATTTTTTTTTTTTTCTAGAAGGGATTGGAATGAACATAGAGAGATATATCCCACACAGACACAGACTTTCTTTTTTTTTTTTCCTTTCAAACGTCGCTTTATTTTTTCATTTTTATTTGATAATAAATTTGTCTACAATTTGTCCTATAGGTTAGTATGTCTTGAAGTTCTCGTGGGGGAAGGGGAGGGGGGGGGGAAGATTCGCGAGAAAGCATAGGTCAATCAATAAAACGGTGAAAAATGGAGGTGAAATAGCGAGCACTCGCGAATGTGACTAACAAAAACGCGCCTCTCGTTCGTTTCCCTTTTCCTTTTCTTTTTTTTCTTCTCTTTCTTTTTTTTGCTTTTCTCTCGTGTTTCTTTTTTTTTGTTGCTCGATTTGATGTCGCGCGTGCAGCGAGAAAACGGACATTTATATGTGTGGTATGTACGTATGCATGTGTGTATGTTTGTATATATGTATGTATGTATGTGTACGTGTGTATGTATGTATGTATACATATAAGCGAAAGTAGCGGGGAGACAGATGATACAGAAGATACGTGAGGATAAGAAGATTACATTGGATGATGCACGCGCGCGCGAATGCACGTATCCGGCGATTGAACGAATACGTACGCCGGTACGAATGGAAATCAACGGATTTTGTTTTGTTTTTTTTTTTTTTTTTCATTAAACGAAAACGAACAATGAATACGGTTCAACGAACGATTGGACGTTGTGCTAGAAATTATCGTCGGTGTACTCGATGCCGATGGACCTTTGAACACTCGAAAACTCGTATCTGGAACTGCGACGATCGTTCATTTGGCGGCGCTAGAATCCCATTTCTTTTCTTTACTCACATTCTCTCTCTCTCTCTCTCTCTCTCTCTCTCTTCCTCTCTCTCGCTCTCTCTCGCTCGCTCGCTCGCTCGTTCTCTTTCTCTCCCTTTCTTTCTTTCTTTCTTTCGAACTTTCTTCATCATCAAACGATCGATTTCGCGGTTTTCGTCGATTTTCGAAGGAAAACTCGCGTCGAAAGAATGCGGAATACCGTGATGGTGATGAGAAAAGATCGCAATCACCGTGAAGTGAAGCGTTACGGTATAGTACCCGAGAGCCATTTTAGATTTACACCACTACGAGTGACGCTGTATAAATGTCCGCGATCGAAAAAGATAATCGAAAAGTGATGTTTTAGGCGTTTTAATCGCGCGCGGTTCGACGATAGATATATATATATATATATATATACATACATATATATATATAATACATACATATATATATATATATATATATACATATACATATATATATATATCTTGTGCAATGTTTCGCGAGTTCTTTCGAGTCTATCGTAAATATAGAAGGAAAACGTGGTGTGCGAGTAAAATATAAATCGTTTGGAATGTGATTGATCCGACTCTCGCGCCATCTCGAACTCGATCGCGAATCGGTAATGTTGTTCCAGTAATGTGGCCCGCATTGGTGGATTATCGCTATAACGTTCTGCTTTCGAGCGATAAGAATTTCACTCACGATTCGGAAAAATATGCTATGCCAGATGGCTTTCAGGTACGTGAAAAGAGCGAATACCTAAATTAATTTCTTCCACATCCGGCGGTAAGTTTATACTCGCTCGAACTCTAAATAAATAAACACGATACTAAGGTCACGAATAACGAAGGAAAAGAAAAAGGAAGGAAGATTAGGTATCGACTCGGAGGTAGTCGAGGGAGGGGGAAGAAGAAATGGAAACGGTAATGGGAATGCGTGGAAAGTTAGAAAAAGTGGAAGAGGGAGGATATATATGTGTGTGTGGATGGAGCGATGAAAGTATGAAAATGAACAAGAAAGAAAAGAAAAAAGGATAAGAGAACGATAAATCCATTCGGAATGGGAAACCAAGTTATCGAGAATGAATGCAACGATGACAAACGTTACACGAACGGATTCACGATTCAACCATATTGTTCATTTAACAGGCGATCGCGCGAAACTGTTAATTCTTTCTTCCTTTATAATAATCTCGTATTCTTCCTTTCAATCTCTGTATACATATACACGTACGTAATGTATATATATATATATATTTATATATATAATTCCTTGCTAAATCTCAGACTCTTTAACGATTATTCGTGGTAATACGTGCCACGCTGAAAATTTGTAACCGAGGCATCTTCTACGATCGTCGAGGATGCCCCGTTTCCTTCTCATCCTTTCGATTCATTGCGATCGTCGACACTGAGTGTCCTCTTGAGATCGTTGTATCTAACTATGATATATCTACACTTTACTTATACGCCTATATCGATTGGTTGATCTTTCTCCTCTTTCGCTCGATTTTTCCACTTTTTTTTTCCTTTTTTTCTATTTTTCTTTTTTTTTTTTCTTCGACAGTCTAAACAGGCTTGAAAGCCCGAAACGAAGGAAGAAAAATCGACGAGAACGTCGATCCACGGAGGCGATCGATCGACGTTCCCGATTCTTCTTCTTCTTGTCCTTCTTCTTTTTCTTCTTCTTCTTTCTCTTCTTCCTTCGGTTAGTCACGTTACTCCACATCGACTTTCCACATGGTGCCGTGTGCTCCCGTCTAGCTCGATTTCCCGCTCCGACGAACAAACGATGGATGATTCGAATCGATCATGGCCGTTAGACGTATAAAAAGATTACCGATCGATTCCTTAGTTTTTTTTTCTTTTTATATTTTTCTTTTTCTTTTTCTTTTTTTCTCGTTCGGACGAGAATGTTCGAGCTTGACAATTTTCGACGAGAATTTTCGCGTCTTCTCGTTAGATAGACGGCATCGCGTGGACAGTTGCGGCGTATTTTAGATTATTTATAGATGATCGTAAGCCTGATCGAGACGCGCCTATTAACATTCGACTTTATTATGATACAACGAATAACGAATAAATCGAAAATCGCGGCGTGGCCCGATCACGCTTCTTCTCCTCGCTCCTCGATAATAATAATTAATTTAACGAATTAATTATCGTCGCCGCGTTCGTAGTTCTCGTTGATTAATATCCTACACGCTACGTCGTTTACGATGTACAATATCGATTAATTATCAAATTATTAATTCAATCATTAGAATTACTTTAGAATATTGGTACTCTTTCGCGTCATCTCCGTTTCATCATCTTTCTCTCTTTCTTTCTATCCTCTCTTCTTCGTTTATTCCGCACTCTTTCTTTTTCCCTTGCAGTCTCTCGCATTCTCGCTCTCACTCTCACTCTACACACATACACACACACACTCTCTCTCTCTCTTTCTGACAGTATGTTCCGGACGATTTAATCGCTACACGCATGTTTGTAGATTTTTATTACGTTTCTTCGAAACGTTGGTCGCCTCTCTCTCTCTTCCTTCCCCACTCTTTCTCACTCAGGCACACACTCGTAAATAAGTAAGTACATTCGTGTAGACTCATACTCATTCTCGCTGTTCTCTCGCTCTCTAACGCGCAAATACAGCATTCATCCCGCGCCACAACGTATTCGGTTACATGTTACGAAGAAAATTATATAGAGCGTTCTGCGCGACAGCGTCCGCATCGTCGTTTACATTTTGTCGGTTTTTACGCCTTTCGTCGTAAAAGTATAGTTGAATCGTGAGTAGGGCCCTTGCTAATATATATTTATATAATATAAGTAAGTATGTATAATAGGTACGTATAAATAAGTTTGTTTTGTACTATAAAGAAAATAATAAAATGCCGAGGCGTCGAGGGGAAATTGCGCGGTGCCGAGAGAGTATTCGATGGCTCCGCGGTCGCAGTTATTGTTAATAAAAAAAAAAAAAAAAAGGAAATTAAATTAAGATTTACGAAAAGAAAAGAAAGAAAAAAAAGGTAGAGAAAAATAAAAAATATTGCAACGAAATTAGAAGCGGTTTCCGATTGAAAATCGAAGTAACGCGGTACCTATATATGTATATTTATCGCATAACGTCTCGCGGGAAAATACTTGTCAGATCTTGATTTTATTTTCGTTTAGGTCGCGTTTTTTTTAACTCGATCGAAGTTAGCCCGTATTTCGCATCCTCGAACACTCTGTGGGCCGACCACGAGCTTCGTCCTCGACTCGAGATGATTTTTTTTTTTTTCGTTTTTTTCTTTTTTTTCCCTAATAGAATGCGTTTGGTGAAAATCAGGTGGGTCTCGAAGAACGTGTTCGTGTTACGCGTGTGTCCGTGTTCATTCGCACCATCGTTCACTCATCCTCTCTCGCGCTCATCCTTTTTCGCTTCGTGTACGCGATATATATATATATATACCGTCTGTATGTATAATTTTAGTAGTGTTAGAGTGTACGTCGTATTTAACGTCGTGTGTCGATACGAGTGTACGCGTGTATAATTGTTTTCTTCCTATAATGCACGGATCACGGCATTCGAAGGGCGATGCATCCACGCGAGTGCACGATTAGCAGCGGTCGTCTCCTTTCAGTTTTATTTTATTTTATCGTTTTATCATTCGTTTAATCAGTCACAGGAGCTTTTGCGTGGCGATCGCTTTCCCCGTCGGGACCAATGGAATCGAAATGAATCAGGAATGAATCAGGAGAAATTTTCTTTTCTTTTCTTTTTTTCTTGTCGTCTCGGGATCGTTGTCGTCGTCGTCGTCGTCGTCGTCGTCGTCGTCGTCGTCAACATTGTCGTCGTCGGCATTCGCTGGCAGTTGACCGAAGGAGAAGTTTTCATGCGTTGCAAAAGTTCGTTCCGGTCGAAAGGTTTGACTCGAATAAAAGGGAAAAGGAGGTAGGAGGGAGAAAAGGCAGGGAGGGAAGGGAGGGAAAGGCGGTGAACAGTTCTCGATAATCGCGGAAAGCGTGCACGCACGTGTACGCAAGCCTCGTGGCCGTCAGGACGCGCGCGATAGATTCAAAGAATGTTATTTTATTCTCGTTTACGTTTGCTTAAGAAAAATTATTGTGCCGATAATATGTTGGGTCGCTAGCGAAACCCTAAACAGGCAGTGCAGTACGAGTGAGTCCTTAAGCAATCTCCAGGCAAGCTTCGGCCTAATATCACGTTTCGAGTCCATTGCTCGTCGATATAATTTACTTTTTTTAAACTTCTTTTTTTCTTTTTTTTTTCTTTTTTTTTCTTTTTTCATTACTTAATTTCTCATGTGTGTATGTATGTATACATGTGTGGTAATTCTTCGATTATCTTACTCTTTTCTTATTTCTTCTTTTTTTTTTTGTTATCTCGCATTCGCTTTCGTATTTATTTTTTTTTTCGTTATTTATTTATTTTTTTTTTTCGTTTTCCTTTAATTGTAATACTTACAATGTACGATTAAGGTTAATCTTACGTGTCGTTTTAAAAGGTATAGTACGGAGCATGGTACAGATTCTTTGGAGTATCGTGCCATCTCTCGTTTTTTTTTTTTTTTTCTTTTATCAACATTCTTCCCTAAAGTAAAACCTCCACGCGTATTCAATGCCGATCGTATCGCGCAGTCTGTCGGTCGGAATAATAATTTTAGTTAATCGCTACGAAACGGTTCTCGCTCGTTTCTCGCTTTTGCTTGGAAACCATTTCCTCGCATTCTCCGACTATGTCTCTATACTCGATAATATTAGTAACGCTAAAAATCGCGGTCCTTCGAATTGGACGTAGGCGTCGTTGGTACCACGCGGGATATGACCAATAATAAATGATCGTCGAATTCGAATCGTCTCCGCCTCGCTTCTTCTTCTTCTTTCTTTTCCTCTTTTTCTCTTCTTTCGTCGACGCGGAATCGTCCATCGAGCGTCGATTCTCCTCTTCCTTTTCCTTCTCCTTCTCCTTCTCCTTCTCCTTCTCCTCCTTCTCCTCCTTCTCTTCCTCCTTCTGGTGCTGCGTTTCTTCGCTTTCGAACGTAAGAGTAAGAGAGGAGGGAGGTTGGGAAAAAGACTGGTTACGTAATTCGTTGGTCTCCTCTCGGATCAACAACGATCGAACTCGAACGATAGATAGGTTCTTAACAACGCATTCGTTCTACTACGTTTGTCGTTCGTTCATCGATGAAAATTTAATAATGTCCTGAGCTGATGTTTGTCGTTAACAGCCTTTTCTTTTCTCTTTTTTTTTTCTCTTTTTTTTTTCGATTTTTTTTTCTTTTCTTTCTTTGTTTTTATAGAGATGGTTGCCCAGCTGATAGAATTGACTTGAAGTTGCCTATACTGGAATCGCGTACGATGATCCTCGTTGTGCTTTTTTTTAACAGTTGGTCTCCGAACGAATACGAATCGCGGCTTGGAATCGCGCGTTTGTTTCTTCTCCACAGCTTTCGTCACAGCCGGGATAGCGGCCCGGGATTTCGTCTCCGCTTCTCTGCTCTCCATCGACGGCCATCGGAGCCAAAGAAGCAACGAAGAATCGGAGCAGACTTCCGATGATCGAACTGCTACTCGTGTGAAAATTCGATGATGCGACGACGAGTCATTTGGAACAGTGCTCTCTTTCTCTTTCTCTCTCTCTCTCTTTCTCGCTCAACACGCGCTCTCGAGATGGGCGCTCTGCCTTCTTCTCGCTTGCCGCTGTCGAAATTGATGGAACTCGGCCTTCATCGCTTGCACCCTGGCCTCGATGTTGTCCCTGCTGTACCTCGGCGTCTGATGATGAACCGTGTGCACCTGGTGGGGTACGTGGGGCACGTGCACGGCGTGGATCTGGTGGACCGGCGGCCTCTCCTCCCTCGTCGGGGTGGAGGCGGATGTGGGGGTGGGCGTGCACGAGACAGGGTCGAACTCGTAATGCCCGTCCACGCTGCCCGCGTCCACGGCCGTCGTCTGGACGTGCGTGTGCCCAACTTTGGCCTGATCCTGAAGCTCCAACCACCGCCCGACCAGAGGCGGGGGCGGCGGCCTGTAAGGAGGCGGCCTCCACTCGGCCACCGTGCTCCCGCTCCTCGAGCTTTGATTCTGTTGCGACGTGTTCTTGCTCCCGAACCCCGAGCTGCTCGACCTGCTCTCCGGCGAGGTCTCGAGATCGGGCGAGGCGGCCAACTCGGGGGCGGACCTCGCGTGCCTCGCGTGCCTCGGCGGCAGCCTCGCCCTCGATCTGCCCGCCGATTGAGGGGGCGAGGAGGTGGCCAACGGCTGGACGGGCACGAATCTCCTCGACTCGGCGTGTATCGCCTTCAACGAGGGCAGCTCCTGGCTGTACCGTTGATGGACGCTGCGAAGCTGCAGGTAATCGGGCGGCGTCGGGAACGAACGTTCCCCGCCCGAGGATGGCTGCCTAACCGAGCTCAGATCGCTGAAATACAACGGCGTCCACGGCACTTGGGGCCCGCTCGGCGAGCTTGCCAGGAACCTGGGCGACGAGATGGTGCACACGGTCGGCGCTATCCTCGCCAACGAGTTCACGGTCCCGTGGTGATGGTGGTGGTGGTGGTGGTGGTGGTGGTGCATCGAGGGGGGGATACCGCCACCGATCGAGACTCCGCTCCCGTCCGACCTCAGGCTCAGTTGGCTGGTGCCGACCAGTGGCCGCCTCCACGACGACTTGGCCAGCCGCTGCTTCGGCAGGAAACCACCGTCGTCGCTGCTCGACGCGTCCAGGATGCTGTTGTTCGCCGAGCTGAGGGCCGAGTCGGCCACCACGAAGCGGCCGTCGGCCGCCCGCGAGATCTTACCCAGTGGTCGACCGCGGCACGAGTCCGGTGTGCCCGGGTTCAGAATCTCCCTAAGGAGATTTAGACCTGGTACTCGGCTTTTTCTAGGTCTACAGGGTAGGACAAAACGAGCGTTAGACCATTCGTAGTGGCGTTTTTCGGGTGGGGACAGCGACGCGATCAACCCCGTCCAAGGAATTTTCCTGCTCTTCGTGCTCCATTTTTTTTGGTTTTTTTTTTTTTTTTTTTCTTTCTTTTTCTCCTCGACGGTGCCGAATTAAACAACGACGACCGATATACATGATTTATGTATGTATATGCGCATATGTTTGTATCGTTTGAGATTAAAGAGGGAACGAGAAGCAACAATTTTTCCTTTTTTTTTTTTTTTCCTTTTCAAATCGTGCCGTATCGAAGTTTAGAATTCGGTTCCGTCATGAGGAGAACGAGCACGATGTTGTTTGAGAAAATTTTCCAAATTTTTTCGATCTCCTTCGACGACGTTGAACGACCGCCCCGATACAACGATAAAGAGACGTGCAACAACGACGTAAAAAAACACGCAACGTTAACACGAACAAAAAGGAAAAAAGAGGAGCTAGGAAAACAAAACAACGAAAAGGCAGACGTACAAGTTAAACGTACAATATAATTATTAAGAATTAATTACGTGTACGTAAGTATAATAACGAATAATGGATGCAGGCAGGGAAGACATGCGCATGCGCATTCCGGTGCACGAGTGGTCGGGCGTGACGTGGATCGTGGGTGGGTGGGCGTTGCCAGTGAGTGGAATTTTCTTTCTTTTTTTTTTTTT